GTCTGGAGGGAGATCTCCTCGAGTTTGACTGGACTCGGCGACAGTTTGGGGAAGGCGGGAGGTAGGGGAGACAGGGCGAGAGTGCCGCGAGGCAGATCGAGATGCGAGGGTGCTTCGGGGTCCGAGCGGGTGTTGCGCTCGTCGGATCGCTTTGTAGCGAGGGTAATCCTCCTCGATCGATCGGGGTGTCCGATTTGGGCACGGTTGCTGCTCGCAACGATAGAGGACTGTCTCAGGGCCGTCTGGGATGTAGACGTCGATGAGGTCCTGGGAGTCGAATGCGTGGATCTGGCCTTGGCAGGCAGCCACGTTGGATGGGGGGGAGGACGGGGAGGTGCGCGTACTACAATGGCCGTGCTATGCTAGCTTACGCTACGGCGCCCAAGAAGACACTAGGGTTCGCAGTTCACGTGGGGCCCAGTACTGCTTTTGACTATTATGCAGCAGGAACCTAGTCCACGCGTCCGTGAGGACAAGTACCGCCCACTGAAGTGCAGGTACTGAAGAGTTCGTTCCCTTAGTGTTGGCGATGTATGTAGGGCTATCTACGTATCGTATGTATCGTAGAGTATCGTAAGGGTGCGCACCACCCGACCTGTGGGAAAGGAAAGTGAATATAGGGTGTCCTGAGGGGACGCCGGCAGCTTGGGGAGTTTCGACCTAATGTCGCGACTTGAGGTCAAGCGACTGAGGAAAACTTGAATGCTGGGGGCGTCCGACTAAGTCTCACCGAAGCGATGGTGAGCTATGCTCAAACCTAAGGCTAGGGACAAGAGGTCGAAACTGAGGTCCCTAGGGCAGCAGAGGCCGGTTTATATACAGGGGAGGTTAAGGGCAGGCTGTGCGTGTTGGTCCGTGCGCAGCTGGTCTGTGCGCAGCATGCCGACGCGGCCCCGGGGGCCGGTGAGTCAGAGCGGCTGTGTCAGCGGAGCCCGAGCTGTGCCGTGCGCTGCCGCCCCATCTAATCTAATCATACAGTAGATAGTGATGCGTCCATATCGGGCAAGTAGTACAGAGGTCGCGGGTTCGAGCCCGCGAAAAGGAAAAATTAAAAAACGGCTAGACGCCGTACCAACTCGTGACACGGCTCGTAGCTTCAACCAGAGAGATTGTTGTGCAGAGTGAGTACTTCAGTGCACCACTAGAATGACGAGTTGCTCACTGGATCTAGGTGGGGCTTTGAAGCCTGATGTGGTCGGGCCTGGCTCATACCGAGCCATATCAAGCCCAGCCCAAGCTGTATAAGGCCAGGCCAAGCCACCGAAGGCTGGGTAGGGCTTTGTGTCCGAGCTAGGCCCTGAATGATATAAATTTGTTCAGCAAACCACTGCCTTTTTCACTCCACCATCTCGCGCCATGTCGCATGCATCACCAACCGGTTCTGCAGCTGCGCTGCATGACCAGTCTACCCCTCCTATACATCCTTCAGTTCTTGCTGAGACTGTTGCTCGTCTTAAACGTCAGCTAGCTGAACTGAGTTCAGAAAATGCATTTCTCAAAGAAGCTGATGCGGACCCTGTTGTAATGCCTTTGTGAGTAATTTATACCATTTGATTGTTTTCTGTCAATCACAACTGGTTACTTAGATCCGAGTCGCATGCCCACATGGGACGCGCTTTCCGACGTGTTGTGTCACTCTACGACAATCCGGCAGACCTCTTTGCTGAACACGATCGACGCATGGAAGCGGAAGACTTATCTGACAGCAATGAGGGCAGTGGCCGCTGTCTGCAGCATAGGTTCGTTCATTAATATGAATATGTCTACAGTGATAAAAGATGTGTGTTGTAGTGCCGACAACGAGCGCACCTATAGAGCATATCACGCAATGGTGTACCATCTCCCTCTGGTGATGAAATCCTTCAATCCCGACTCTGGATCTGCATTGCCAGTCCGTCAGATTGGGGCGTTATATAAACAGGTGTGCCAGCAGTGCATTATTGTATGGTGCTGGCTTATAGTATAGCTATATCCAAAAGTTGCGGAAGGGAGCTGATGCAGCACGCGGCGATGACATCTCTAACTTAAATAAGAACTTCATAACTTGGCTTCAGCACCTTTCCCCGGGATTGCCAGCAGTTACTGCGCTTGTACAATATCCAGGCTTGAAGACGATCCGTGGCTTCAATAACGATGCAACAGCACGTCTACTGATTCCAGTTGAATGGAGCTGGGACGACGAGGAGTGCGTTTGGTCGCACATGTTGAACTCGTAATTACTTTTGACCTTTTACATCTAGAACACGTACCGGAATCAAGGATGGTAACCCGAGGTTTTACATTGGACCGCACCACTTGCCTGCTTTCCTTTTTGCGCATTTAAAGAGTAATCCAGATGACCGAGAGGAGGGTATCTTCCGGAGTTCTATTCTGATTTCGGTAGGTCTCTGATTCATTGCTTGACGTGCACTAAACTGTTCTGCAGGCATGTAGATCAATTTTGACATCCCCCAGGTCTGCCGAAGCTGTCGAAGATGCTGACAATCCTGAATCTGGACGCGCAGAAGGTGGTGAGCCACCGTGCAAGAAGCGAAAGAAGAGAGCTCCTACCAAACGCAGTACAGTCGCGCAAATCATTGGTTTGAAGCACATTACAGGGCGCGTTATTGCCTATATTTGTGTGCTGGTATGTTCCATCCTCCACGTCGATAGCACATTACAGGGCGCGTTATTGCCTATATTTGTGTGCTGGTATGTTCCATCCTCCACGTCGATTATCATCTCGTAGCTCATCATTTCATACTAGTTACATTTCACACTGAGTGATTTCGATTCGTGGAGCAATGACCTCGACGGGTTTGACTACCGCACCTTTTACAACAGTATAGTCGACTGGTTTGAGGCTGCCCCGGGTCCTTTGTCAGCTCAGCGCAACACAGAATTGCTCCAGTGGTGGGACGAGTAAGTCTTGCTCTCTGCGGCCTGAGTGTCTTGCTGATGCCTCAATGAGGCAAATATTTCAGACAACACCAGCACTAGAACCAGGTGCGGCTGCTAGCACGTCAGGAGCTCAGCTTCTGGCTCAACGTCTACAGAAGGAGCAGACGGCTGCTTCGGGCGGGAATCTGTAGATTGCCACACCTGTATTGTTGCGAGAAAATATACGTGATTTGTGATATTTCTGTACTGAGGACCCAGGGGACCGCGATCCGAGCCTATCCGCGCAATTACTTGTTGCCATACCCAGCGGATTGTGACAAAACCATAGATGGGAATACAATAGACACAATACTGCGATTCGTGCGCAAGGTAGCATTGGATTACAACCCGATATAAGAGACGTAATCTCGACCTAGATGTACAGATGGCATAATTTTGCCGTAGCCTGACAAGCTCATACCGTATGATGCAAGAAATATGACACCTTGCCAATAACCGTCAGTATTGCACCTATTGCAATGGATTGGGATATTGCCAAAGCAGACTCGCCTCGATAATCGTATATCTCTCATGTACAATTATGGCGCTTGATTACATTGATTGTGTCGTCATGTAATAGATTTCAAGATGGATCTGGTTTTGCTGATGCGCTTGCGCGACCTCCAAGGCTCCTCAATCCCCATTTGCTATGGGCTCTATAAAGGCAATGTCACCGGCGGCGAAGGTCAACGTGAAATTGGAGTCAGCTGCCTTGTACTCGAGTACTGCGGCATACCGACATCGTTCTCGAAAATGAACAAAGCGTTTCGGTACGATAATAATTGACAGTTGAGACACTATTAACAGCAAGCTAACGAACGTCTTCGTCGTTCATCGTAGGATGCAACTGGTAAAGATCGTGGAGGCGATTCATGCGAAAGAAGTTGTACATGGGGACATTTCAGCTAGAAATATCCTCGTGAAAACGGTTGAGGGTATAGCGCAACCCGCCATCATAGATTTTGAGAGATCCATCCTGCGCCATAAATGCCCTGCTCAACCTCAGCATGCAATTCAGTTTGGTCCAGAACCTGAGGGCCCCCCCGATAACATCAACCCTTGCTCTGAACTATACAACACTGCGAGGCTCACCAGTGCATGGGTATCTCGTGAGTGCGATGTCTATTCATATTTTCACCGAACCCTAACCACAGGGGTGGGAGTTAGCAACCTTCAAATATCGGCACAAGTATGTGCCTATCAGTTATGCAGAGAATCGCAACGCAAAGGGCTTAGTACTGGATCATGGGCCGCACCACTCGGTCTCGGATGATATAGACGGGAAAGAGCATGCCAAAGCGATTCGTGTAGCAGAAGAGGCGATTGAGATGTACTGGAAGAGACAGGAGAAGCAGAAGGCGCGTGACAACTACCCCATGTGATGAACTTAGCCACCATGTTCTAACGTTGTAGAAACGATATCCTCCCATGTAGTACGCTACTTCCTACCAGTGATCCTTTTTGAGAATCGTACTTCTTTCGTTCAGGGTCCGCGGATGGTACACCCGTCATTCCATGTGGCTGTACGTCCCTGGATAGTTTGCTCCCCGACGAATCTGCCTGCTGATTTGATGCGAATTCGGCGGACAATTTCAATGGGTATGCAGGGGCTCCCCGCCACAAATGGTCTCAACTTCCGCCATGCATTCCGACAGCACACATTGTCTTGACATCCTTTCTGTGAGCCTCTCAGTCGAGCTTGGCCCATCCCTACAAGCACAAGTGCATGTAAGAGACGGCGACAGTCTGAGATAGGGTCCCCCTGGCATATAGGCATGTGCCCATGAGAAGACGAATGGGATAAGAACCCTCACCATCATGTCCTTGAGAGCGTGCGAAGCTCTGATCCGCCAGCTTTCTCAACTAAATTTAAGACCGATGTCAGAACACGACACCTCACACCTCGGTATTGTCAGGATGGTAGAAACGAATGAATGCAGAGCTACATCAGCTTAGTTGAAATATGTGACAGGAAGTCCGTCCACAATCTCCTCCTCATGGCCGTCCTCCCGTTTCTTCAACTGAACGAACCCATACCCCCTCACCCTGCCTTGCCGCCAGCTTTTCATAGTGGGTGCTCGGTCATCGCTGCAGCGACGCTTCACTCCAGCCCTCTGGAGTACAGGGCTATCGAGGCGCGGGACCAGCTTCACGTCGTCATGCGGCATCGCGAAGTAGAAGATGCCGAGACGAGTGAGGCCGCGCTGGTCCGGCGGAGGCTGCACAACGCGGTGGATCGTGCATTTGTAGAATCCCCCCGAGAGGAAGTCCATCGCGTCGCCAGAGTTGACCACCTGCAATGTCACGACGTGACTTCTAGCCGAGAATCGAGCCACGAGGTGCGCCGTACCAGAGCATTGTCAATGTGCTTGACCCATCGCCATTTCCCGTCTGAACAGAGAATCTGCAGAGCGGAGATCGGCTGGCTCCAGAGAATGGTGACGCTGCCGAGATCTGCGCCTGGTCGTCAGAGTCTATCTGTCGACAGAGCAATTGTGGCGTACCTGTATGGCCCTTCAGCCACACATTTTTGGTCTTCTCCTCGTCCTCCTCAGTTCTAGGATAGCTGCTGTATATTAGATGTCTGAAGGGACAATTTGGGTCGAATGTGAACTTACTATCTCGTGAAGCGCACTGCGAGGTAGATCCGAAAACGTGAGGCTGTGCTACTAAATCAATACTGTTTTCAGTCTTACCATATGATTCACCCAAGACATCGAATTTGTGCTGGTCGACGAAGGTTTCCTCAGGAAGTTCCAGTCCGATGGCTAGCAGGCTGCGCGTATGTAGTCAATTATATTCCGTGCTGCCAACTGGATCGCCATACTTACCGCAAGATATTGTGGAGCACCTCAAAGTGATTGAACTTGATGAAAGACTCGATCTCGGGCATAAGCGGTTGAAGGGCCTTCGGGTGCTTCTTCCTGGCGATGTCGTGATTGACTGCCATCCATGTCGCTCGGTGAGGATCGGCTACGTGTATGAGTTACGATACTCACTATTGTAGTGCTCCAGCTGGTCGAGGACGCCATTGTCAATGTGCTGTCAGAGCCCAAAGCTTAGTGCCTGTGTTCTTTCTAGCTTTCTATTGCAGATCGCCGCCATACCAAAACAGAGCGCATCTTGTATCCTTGGTAAGAGCCTGCGCCCTTCATGTCCGCAGCGTACAGCCGCTTCTCCTCATCTGGGACAGAGTTGAAAGGCACATCGGCAATATCAAAGATACGTTCATTCTACAGTATGCACGAGGTCATCATTGCGTTGCTAACGTTCGCGTGCACGACGCACCTCGTGCTGAGTCAAGCCATGGTTGATGATATAGAAGAAGCCCTGGACAGAGAGCGCGTCGCGGACCTCGAGGGCTAGCTCAGCACGACCCTCTGGAGTATGCACTTTGGCGAAGTCAATTATGGCTAGGTCCGCATATTCCACTTGAGGCAGAACACCACGTCAGCGAGCGCAACGTAACCCGTCTACAGCACTTACAGTTCTCCTTCGTAGGAGGAGGGGCAACATGTCGCGGAACTTGGGGGACGGTGAGGCTAGGCATGCGAAACTCCGGTTGAACGTATCTGAGTAGCCTTGTCCACTTGCCGGTGCTTTCCAACAAGTTGACCGGACAGGCATCTGGTTCATCGCAGAGTATTTGTACTCGCACGCGACGAATCTAACTGAGACGGTCTAAGTTTCGGTGTCTGAGAGATAGGAAAAGAAGCAGAACACGCACGTCAGGTACCCCTACCGATATGTGAGATCGCAATGACCTAGATCCTAAGAGTACTGTTTGCTATGGAGTGAGTTTGCTTCGTAGCATCACTTCGTATCAGCAAGTTTCTGAGATAGAACCACCTGGCTGCAACGTTGGATAGTGCTGACACGCACAGAGATTTCAGGCATGTCGGCACAGATTGAACGCGGATGCCCGCCCTCCGCATTCCAGGAGCTAACAACAGCACCCAAGATGTCATCGCAGGCGTTATCAACTCATGCGACAATGCATGTACTTTCGTCAGAGCACCCATCCACTCTGCACCACATGAGCTCTCACATTCCTATCGATTAGCGGGGCAACGACAAAAACGCCACTGCACGTTCTGCACGACAACTTCGGTAACAAAGAGTGTCGCAGGAAACGTCTGCTATCGCCTGCATGTACCGAAGTACACGAGATCATATACTACCTTCAAAAATGACATCATCGACTTTCTCTGGCACTAGTGATTCTGACACATTGGCAGGGAACTTCTCGGACTCGCTGGACTCAGTCATAGTTGACCTGTATAAGAGTTTTGATGAGCCCGACAGCGATTGTGCTTGCGTTGAATAGCAGAGATCAACATACTGTATAGTCGAGACCGATGTTCGGCGGACATGAAAGCTAGTTATGGGACTTGATGACGTGTCCCCGCTGGCCTGTATGTCCGTTGCATTCAGAGGTGGGCGACGAGCATTGAGACTACGACGAGATCCGAGATCAGCGGTTGACATTTACTTCGGCACTTTCGAACGCACGTGGCTAAGGCCGTATTGATGTTCACTGGGGCGTTCACACAAAACATGAGCACTATTGGACAGGAGAAGCATTGGCCGGTAACGTACATGTCCCAGCAAAGCAGTACACCCCATCCATGGCTTGTGTACCGTTCGGTTTGTACTATACGGTGTTCTCGTCATTGATTACTCGAGTTTCGTGGATCCAGAACGTACCGTGACGATGACAAGGAGCTGGACGAGACTTGCATCTCTTGAGTAAGTTACGAGCCCTTATTTCGGCTAGTGACTTACAATATCAGTATTGCGCGACCGATTACGAACGCGATCACACGAGATATTAAGTTTTCCGTCCTAGACAATTCGTGCCGCAGGGAATGAACAAACAGGCGTGATTGATTGTTGAGGTGGCTCACGCTTTGTGCCCGGTTCTGGAGCGATGAAGGATGACGCACAGAGACAACGTAATGAATGCATCCACTGCTAGTGCAGAGTAGCCTTGTATACGGCCAGAAACCTGATGTGACATTTAGGTATCCGCACAAGGCATAATGTTCGAACTCGCACCTCTACTCGGGCTATTGCAGATATGTCAGTGCTACTAGTGAATCTACCGACGAGAGGTTTTAGCTTCAAGTCTACGAATCTCAAGATGCCTCTGAGCGACTCACATGTCGTATGCAGCAACTGCCATAGATCCGCAAGTGAACAACAAAGTGATGGACTGACTTCCATTGCACGTACCGCAGCCGCAAACTGAAGCATACGAGTGTGAATATGCGATACATTCGCATAGAGCTCACATACCAATAGAGAGTATTGTCAGGGAAGCCTTGCAGCAAACCTCAGCTTGAGTATGTATCCGCGAATGTAAAAACATACCCCAACGGTAACTAAAGGCCTCTGAAAATTTCTCGCCTTCGTGACTTAGAGGGTATCAATAAGCAGTAGAGAACGTCTGTCATGTTGAAGACTAACGGGCCCATATATTGTAAATGTAGAGCCTGTGTGCAAGCAGTAAGCTTATATTCAGTAAATAGAAGATGCAATGCACCCTTGCACAGCAAACGTTGTCACCGACTAAGGCAGGTTTAGATGGGCAGCAGAACAGCCAAAGATTGGCATGGCTCACCGACAGAATAAAATGGACCTATAGAAGCGAGACATTTAGTGTTGGAATTGCTTTCATGATCAAACAAGCAAATCTAAGCACCGTATACGATCTGTAATGCCGACAGACGAGCTGAAGCGTTAGTGGTGGGTCAGAGAAAATATACTTGAACAATAGTCTTACGTCGGAAGCATAAGAAGTGTGGCGTCAAAGGAGTGATTGCGAACAAACCAGTGCCATAGTAGCTATAGCCTTGTGAGTAAAGTCTTGTTTATGTAATCTATAACCTACCTGGGTATGGATGAAGACTTTGACTGTGTCAAAAAGCCTAATTTCCATGAATCAGTGCCTCGGAGTGCTAAGAGACAGCGCTGAGATACCATAGACTTATGACCTGATATCGACTATCAGATGAGCTGAATGTGCAGGTCAATTGAAGTATAACGCGCCAGTGTCTTTAGCCCAATACTATCCCGGGTGAAGCTATGCAAATAGAACATGGTCTGTCCAACAGTTCCGCCATAAAATCTGCACGTAAAATGAATCGTTAGTATGAATCGCCATCTGTAGATGGTATACGTACATGAAGCAGAGAAGCATTCCGACCCATGTCGACGTGAAGGCGACGCTGGGAGTAAGGAAGAGCGTAGCCATGCCGAAGTGTCCGAGGTCGAGAGGCCTCACTGCAGGCGAACGATCCTTTATAATAATTGCCTGTAGATAAAACTGTCGACTTGCTGCGTCGTTGTTGACTCGGGTGCATTCTACAGACGGGCCCCGGTGGCCTCGATACGGAACAGGATGCCCATGCTCCTTTGATCAAGCTGCGAGCCTCTGCAGATGAAGAGCTGTGGAGTGTACTGATGCTGATCGGTAGGAATGTTGTGTGCATGATGGCGAGAAGAATATGGAGAAGTAATGATTGATTGAGACGGCATTGTGTCGCGTTCAATGTTCTCTCACATCTATTTTGAGGCGAGACGAGCGCATCAGCTTCGCCTCCGGGAAGGTGGGAAATAACGCGGAGAATGTTGCGAGAGAAGCATATCTGTGACGCACGTGAGGTCTCAAGTATCTGAGTCATAGCCAGATACTAGCTCTTGGCAAAAGGCAGGAGCACGGCATGCACGACTGTGGCTTGATTGCACGTCTATGGATGGTGGTGAAGGCCATCTAGCTACCGATGCGGTGCTGGAGTTTTCATACGGGTCCCGCACAGTGAGAGCAGATTCAAAACACCGAGCGCACATATACGAAAGCGACGTACGAATTCTGGAGGGCCTGGGCAAAGGAAGATAAAGGAGATGTTAAATGGCACTCTCATCCCGGAATGCCGGTTCACAGTGAGCGAGGAAAGAATGGATGTGGCTTGGATATTGACTCAATGGTCTCCTGTCATTATATATTATTCAAAGCACGCTCGCAGTGAATGACCCTGCCCAAAGTCTGGGGCAGGCGACGTCCAAGACCAATAGACGGATTTGAAATATATTCCAAGACTCATTCCCTGCATCTCGAGAACAGCTGTAACAAGCTGCTCGCAGTTACCACGCCGTCAGTCGAGGTCTGCAGCCATCGGGAGCCGGGGAGAGATTCGCACCACTGTCAAAGTAAATGTCTCGGATTGTCAAACAGACTCACGACAGATCTTGTACCGGCTCTGCATGGTTTTAGGAATGAAGACAGTACTTAGAAATGACTTGGGTCTGTCTATCTGATACTCAAGCTTCAAGTTACACATAGATGAATGAAGCAAGCATTCCTCGACGGATAGCAAAACGTGGATAACTTACAAGTAATTATCTTCGAGCGCGGGCCGAGTCGGCAAGTCAGGCGTATAGCCAAATACCTCACAACATCGCGCTCGACGCGTACGCGACGGTCCTACCTCAAGGCCTCAACTAGGCTACTCAGGCGACGTATAAAACACGAGATAATTGACCTCTTTAGATCGGAGGTCCCGTGCGTCAGAATCCTCCTTGACGGTCGGCTTGCCGCTTCCCTCAGCCAGACTCTTTCTACTAGCACTACTACTGGACGATGCAACAGTGATTTTCTCTTTTTTTCTCAGCCACGCTTGCTCGTTGGGGTCGGAGCTGGCCTTGACTTTGTCAACCCCCATAAATGTAATCGGCTCGCCCAATTGACGCTAGCCGCGTGAGCACCCATTTGCTGACGTCGCTCCACCGTCCAGATGAAGTTGGTGACGGCGACAAACGCTCGAGCGTTGTGATCGCAAAGCGGCCACCTACCCACGCACCGTGATGGAGGTCACCTTGGTAGCTCATAGACGTTGAATCGTCCAAGGACCGGTAACTCAAGCACAACAAGACGTTACCAAGGCATAGTGCACCCTCCACGGAAGGAGCATGGACCCTCGCATCGGGGAGTATCGCCGTTGCGTCAGCACCGACGTACTCGTGCTTTAAGAGATTGGGCAAGGCTCAAGTACGCTCCTTCGAGTCAAACTGTCCCCGAAATTAGGTGTCGGCCTTACCAACTTTCCGTAAACCCGACAATTTAGACCATGAGATGTACCGCACCGCTTCTTCGGGTGGCGCGTATGATGGTTTCGTTAAGTAATCGATCTTTTCACAGGCTTCACATTTCACCTCACAGATTGGTGGGCTGTTCTAACAGTGTTCACGAATGCGGGTTCGCGCAAGTTCTCCAGCTCTGCTTCGAGCAATATCTCTTTGAGGAGGTCACCGTCATTCGCGTACTCAATAAGGCATAATATTCGACCCCTCGCCCATCACCACTGACCCAGACAAATCAGCTCGTACATCTGCTGATGCGCAAACGGTTCGAGTTGTGACTTTGAGAGAGTGAGGAAGAAGCCATACTTGAAGCTTGAGATATGGTCGAAAACGAGAGCCAATATCTCACCTGGTAGGTTTAGACGACCGAGTACCTCGGTGCCCATCGTACGGACAAATGCTTTGTGCTGTGAGTCTACAAGCATATAAGAGAGGTAGTAAGGCGGAGACTTTAGAAAGTTGACTAACCTTGCCTAGCATTAGATGTGGCGAGGGTCGAGGGAGTGGCATTGCAATCAAATTGACGAAGGTCTCGAAGTCCACGTAAAGGAATTCGTCGAGCTTCCTCCAGCGTTCAGAAATCTCCCGCTCGTCGAGGTTCAATCTGTTAGTGAGGGTGTCAGAATCAAAAGGCGGGAACGATATTTTGCAATGTACAACTGCCGGCATTGATTTATCTCGAGGGCTTGTGGTGTTCGGGTGTGTACGGCTATCGTGCTTGCATATCGCTGGCGTCGAATATGCTGAGTGTGTACTCGACAGTTGACGGGACTATTATGCTACATGCGCCTGACTGGGAGGAATATGCAAGGGATCGAGGCAAATTGGTATCAGCCACACATTTGCATTGTGGCGCAAGCGCGTCTGAGTCACTCATTGGGTCTCATTTCCGCACCCACGCCGCGTGCAATGGAGATTGGATTGATCTGTCCAAAAGACCAATCCCTGCATGCGGTGTCTTACCATAGATAAACACAGCTGTGGACGAGATGTACCGAGCAAGCACTGGATCATGACCGATGGGAATAAATGGGAATATCAATTGCAACTGTCAGCTTGACACTGAACACCGTGGTCCACACAACACTGGCATCATATAGCATCACAGCGCCCGCGATTCGTGGAGCCTCAGGATCAAGTCCTCCTATCATTGCCAAGCGGTCGCGGCTGAGCACGCAGGCTCCACCCTCGTGCCAAACTCGTCAACGTCACTGGGTAGGCCGTTCCTCATGTATTTTTATAATTCGAGGATTCTTCTAGACCAACTACGAAACCATCGACATAATGACGTAGATTAAGATAGATGCGAGCACAATGGTCGCCGCGACTACGTGGAGTCCGAAATCGTCCCAGAAGCTGTTCACTGTGAATGCGTCTTTGAGCGGAGGGTTGAGAGAGACGGTAACGCTATGCCTCTCGCCAGGAACGAGGTCAGCTGTGGTGATCGTCAACGTCTGCCGAGCCTCGTCGTAGCGGTAGCGGTCCTCTGGCTTGAGGCCCTGCACGACAATTTTCCGGCTGTGCGCCAGAAGCGACGGCAAGAAGATCTGTGTATCTTTGCTCGTGAGAGCTGGGTGGCTGGCCAATGGCGGACTCGCAACGCTCGCTTCTGCAGGGGGTGCGGAGTCTACCCCGGGAATGACCCACTCGAACGTGAACTGGCCGGTGTTCATTTCGTAGTCGAAGCGCACTGGGATGCCAGCAGTCTTGGCGGGGTATGGGCGCACAAACGCGCGCACAATGCGGGCACCGTTGTCCAGAGTTGGAGATGTCTGCGCGAGATCCAACCAGTCGCCCGTGAGGGCGCGGCGCCTGCTGAACCAAGAGAAGTTCTCGCCGTTCCAGTCGTCGCCGATGTGGTCCTCGTTGTCCGGATTGTAATTCCAAAGGCTGGACACGAAGTCAGCTTTACTAGCGGAGGGCAGTGTTAGACAGTCTCACGTGAAGCCAACGAGAGACTTGTCAAGGGCAGTCAGCATGGCATCCATCATGCGCGTTTGCCATATCCAACTGTCCGTCTGGAACGCCTCGCCCTTACTGTGCAGATGTAAGTATTAGTGAATGGAGGACGAGGGCGGGAGAACCAACTTCATGTCCATGGGGATACCACACTCCCCTATGACTACAGGCCTTTCGCCCAAGGAACGATAGCCGGCTTCTACGATGTTCCGGATTTGAAGGGAGAAGTTTTCCCGAGCGCCTTGATGGCCCCAGTATAACGCTTTCAAGATGAACATGCCCTAATGCGGACAATGAGGATGTATCGCACGGGCGTGATTCGCAGGCACTCACTCGGGAGAGGCCCTGAACGTTTGCTGTGAAGTCTCCGAATGCCTTGGTGAACAGCGCGTTGAGATCATACCTGGCAGAGCGCGTTATTGTTTGCAAATCACGAAAAGGCACCAGTCCTACCAATGTGGCGCGTACACTACGTTAGGCGGCTGCCGCTCGGGTGTCCAAGAGGAAGGGCAGAACTGGACGGCGGGCGATGAGTGGGCACCTACGCCATGCAGTGAACAAGACATACCTCGTTAGGTATCGGCTCTACAAGCACAAGCTTGTCTGGACTCGACACGCTACGCACACGCTCCGCCCACCTCTGCACGAACGGGTAAAAGAAATCGGTGTACCAGTCGATCTACATCGCCGGTAATGGTCATCTGATGAGCGTGTGTCAGGAATCCACATTACCCTGCCTCGCACGTACCGTCTTCCCCGTCATCGGGTGCTTCTTGAAGTAGCTCTCGCGGAGCACAACACCCTCGTTTTTCTTCAAATCCCACCCCCACACACCGTGCATCTCCCACAGACAGCGCCCGCCCGTGGGCCCGTCCTGGCGCCAGGCCTTCTGGCGTGCGGTGTTCAGCACTGCCTTGCCTGTGAGCCGCGTCGGCATCGGGAAGGTGCGCGTCCAGAAGCCGACTTCCGTAGGATAGCCCGCGCCGAGCGTGAACGACTGGAAAGCGGTCGCTGCAGGGGAGCACATGCACGAAAATGAGACGCATCCGCACTGCGTGGGCGGAGGCACTTACGGACATGCCCGAGGTGCAGGTCGGTGTTGTAGTCAAACTGGTGCATCGACTGCAGCTCCGCGTAGCCTCGATGCGGCTCGTTCATGATCTGCACGCCCGTCAGCCAAGCTCGGCGCTCCCCGCACGATAATGTGCCCTCACGGTCTCACCTCGAACCCTAGGACGCCCTCCAGGTCGCCGACCGTTTTCGCGACGACCTCCCACATGTCCAGGAACGCCGTCTGCAGGAACGTCTGTATCGACACGTCCGCGCCGCGCGCGTCCCGCACCCGCAGCTTCGGCGCGAACGCGTCGCCCGCCCAGAAGCACGTCCTGCATGCGCGCGTTCAGCTTCTCTCGCACGGGTGCACACACGCGGGGCGCCCACCACTCACGCCATCGTCGCCGCCGAGAGCTTCTGGTACCCGCACGGCCACAGCCCGCGCTCGTCCTCCGTGTGCCCGCCGCCGCGCACCCCGCGCAGCCACGCGGCCCCCGGCTCCTCGAGCCCGTGCAGGTCGAAGCCGACCGCCTCGAGCGTCCATGCGGGCGCGCCGGAGCCACCTGTGTAGCGCGACCAGACGTCCTGGTGCAGCGCGACGAAGGCCGTGAGGCCGAACTGCGGGAGGAGCGAGAGGATGCTGCGCAGGTAGGCGAGGTACTCGGTGTCGTATATACCCCTGGGGTGCGCAGACCAGGTCAGCACGCCTCAATACGGATTGCAGAAGCGGGAGACGACGCACGGGCCGGCGTGTTCTACGGCCTCCCAAGTCACCAGGAATCTGACTGAGAAGATGTAAGGCAGCTCTGTCGTAAAATGACTGGACGAATCGTACTAAACGTCAGACCCCATCTACGCAATCTTGCAAAGTGCTCGTGCGCTTCCTCCAGTGGGAACGGCCGGCCGACGAAAGTCACGTCGGCGTGGTTGGCAGGGAATGTGTCATGGTCGTGGTTTGTAGGCCTGCATTTGTACGGTGTCAGCAGCTCACTCGCAATGTATGTTCCGAGGCGCAGCACAAGGCATAGCATGAGGTGGTGCAAAGGTATTAGCCTGGATCGAACTTGTAGTCTTGTTCAGGGCCCGGCTCGGGCCCAAAGCCCTACTTTGGGCCGCACTTTTGGCCACCGGGTCTGGCTTGCTAGTCAATCCAGGCCTGCACACTAGGCTCTGTGGCCTCTTGAAGGTCTTTCGAGGACTTGTGTTGGGCTATATGCGCCTCAGCTAAGCAGGGCCCGGCCGGCTTGGGCTTCAAAGCCCGGGTGTGGACATCACTAGATCGAAGTCAAGCACGTACGTTTTGCAGTTCCCCGCCAAATTCACTCCTCTCAAGTTGCACACCCTTCCGTACGCGTCTACAAAGTGGCGTCCATGGGTATACAGCCTGCCGCCCGTTCCGGCGGCCGACCAGTCATGTGCGAATGAAGGCGCAGCCTTCGGTGCTGGGGGTCGCGCTGCGGGCGATTGGGGTTGTGCAAGCTAAGTTGGGTCTGCATGATGAAATATTCCCGCGGAATAAGGAGCGCAGAGCGTACCGCACGGTCTACTTCAGCCCTTGGGGTCTCCACATTAGACTTGTCCACAAGCAGCTCGCTCTCTGTGAGACGGCTGGCCGCCAAGTCCTGCGAAGCGTCTTGATCCTGCCGCACAAAAATGAACGACGCGTCTGACGCCGTGCGCGAAATCATGTCAGTCGAATAAGCAGTCCGTGTGGGTATGTTTTCCAGGAGATTATGGAAGGATAGCGCAAGGATCAGCACAGTCGCAGCTGGCGGACTGAGCAGCGTCTACTGTCAAGCGCCCATAAATATACGGCATAGCTAAAATAGGTGATCGCCAACATTGGCCATTTGTGTGCCGAGTCTGTCTCAAAGTGATACGGTAACGGTGCCTTGTCTGAAGTGATTTGAAGATGGTCTCAAAGTAGGTATGCTGCACGGTATCGCCCCATAAACGGTTTCACAAGACACTTGATTCATATAGAATGAATGCAGCGTCGTACATCACACACCAACGAACAGTACAAATGACCGCACTCGCTAACAGACCTCGGGGCTCGCCTTGCTGACAGCGAATCACTTCTTAGTTTATGCTTTTGTGACCGGATATGCACGGCAAGGCATAGTGTTGTTGTTTTGTTCGCATTAGGAGTAGACTAGTAGCCCTGGCTATGCAGGAGAGACGGAGAAGGGAAAACACCGCCAAGTGAAATGTCATACAACCTGGGACCGCTCAGTGACCGTGCCGGTACTCAACCGAGATAGTACTCACCTTGGGAGCCAGACTGACAATCTTTCCCCAACCCTTCATTCGAAGATCCGCGCTCACAACCCCGCCGATACGTGTCCCCAGCATCTCGCGCTTGTTGTTCAGCAGGACCGCGGCGTTGTCATCGAAGCGAATAAATCGCCCGTCCGGTCTGCGCACCGTCTTCTTCGTGCGCACGATCACGGCGCGACGCACGTCTCCTCTGCGGACCTTGATGGCATTAGACCCGCTCTGTGCGGCGGAAATTGGGCGGGCACGCTTCACGACGCAGACGATCTCGTCGCCGACGCTGCCCCAGCCGTTATTGACCTTTTGCTTGAGGACATTGACGCACTCTACGAGCAGAGCTCCGGAGTTGTCGATGACCTAGCACATGGGCGTGAGCACGAGAGGGAATCGGTAATGAGAGAAGATAAGACGGACATTGAGAGTGCCCTTGAGGCCGATCATGGGAGCTCGTACAAAGCAATACAGTAGTAAGAAATCATTGAAAGCGGGCCTTGAAGCCAGCGGTAGTCGGAGTTTGAATGGGAGATTAGACTTGCGTATAGATCGATTATAGCACGCGCCGTATTTGGATCGTCATTCCGCTCGGCCATTGCACTCGGTCCCTGCATCGTCTGCCCCGTCCACCACCATGCCAGCATCCCGCCGCGGCAGCGGCAGCGTCACCCTGCCCACCGGGCAGACCCTCGCCTTCCACACCCGCTCCAGCGACGCCGACGACCTCCCCCATGCTACCAAGAAGTGCGTAGCTCATGCCTCTCGCGTTATGGGCTGACTGTGAATGCATGCGACCACAGGAGGATGGCGGATCACCTCCGCAAGTACGAGAGCCTGTACGTGTCCCCCGTCGATCAGTTGATGGAATGGAATCACTCACCCGGGCGCGTAGATTCACGCTAACCCCGCAGCGTATGCGGATGATCGTCGAGGCTTTCAAGGATTCTCTTGAGACAGGGCTCGCCAAGGCCGGGCAGGTCGTGGTAAGTACGCTCATCTCCCTCTATGTTGTCTGCGGTATATGCGCAACATTGTTCCAACAAGTAGCGGTCCTGGGCATCACCTCTTGTATGTCTGCGAGAAGCTCGATATCCAGATCGCTACGTCGCTTGGTGAGGCTTCTGGTAGCTATGTGTCTGCACAGACCACCAGTCGATCATTACCGCGCGTCTGCATACGCTCCTAAGTACTTGTAGTGGAAGGACCCTGGGCTATCAATCCTCAAATATGCCTCGTATATTTTGTCTTCATTCTTCTGGGCTGTTTGCATAATATACCGTGGATATCTTATGTACTACCTGCTGTTACTGGCTAAACTCCACGCCATCGACACTAGGGTCATGTAAATAATCCCAGGGGAGACATCGCAGCCGTGCTCCCGGTCATCTTTCCTCCTGTGTATGCACCTGCTACGACTATCTTGCTGACTGCCGTTTGACACAGCCCATGATACCCACCTACGTCTTCGGCTGGCCATCTGGCGAAGAGACCGGCAACTTCCTGGCGGTCGACCTGGGTCAGTCGCGAGTTCCCCCGTCCTGCTCACAGGAGTCTGTTCACACGGCCTTCCTCAGGCGGAACCAACCTCCGAGTATGCCTTGTTACGCTCGAGGGCGAGGGGAAATTCGAGATCACGCAGTCGAAATACCGACTGACCGAGGAGCAGAAGCAGGAGGAGGGCCAAGTACTGTTCGATTTCTGCGCCGAGTGCCTCAAGACGTTCGTCGACTCGCAAATTGAAAGTGGTGTGATCCGCAAGGACTGTCTCCTCCCTCTCGGTTTCACTGTATGTGTTGTTGGTTTCGCTTGGCGAAAAGTGGCTGAAAGAGCTTCATTTGTAGTTCTCCTATCCTTGCTTGTGAGTGCACATGTGCATGCGCAGCGGTTGCCTGCTGTGCTCAACGTGTATTCTTGTTCACAGACAAGACCGCATCGATCACGGTGAACTCATCCGTTGGACTAAGGGCTTCGGCGCGTCAAACACCGAGGGTCACGATGTCGTCGCCATGTTCCGCAAGAGCCTCGAGAAAAACGTGCGCCCTCGACGCACCCTCCCGCATCAGCCGCTGACCGATCGTGCAGAAAGTCCCTGCTGAGATTGTCGCGCTCACGTGCGATACGACCGGTACCCTGATCGCTTCTCACTATGTGAACCCCAGGACGCGTATCGCGTGCATCTTTGGTACCGGATGCAACGCGGCATACATGGAGCGCGCGGGTGACATCCCCAAGATCTCGCACCTCGGTATCGACGGCAATGCTGAAATGGCCATCAACTGCGAGTGGGTCCGTGCACTCTCGTGCAATGGGCAGGTCGACCGTTGAATGCTCACCCGGCGTCTTACTCACAGGGCGCATTCGATTCGTTCGAGCATGAGAACCTCCCACGGACGAAGTACGACCAGATCATCGACGAGACGTCGAACAAGCCTGGCGAACAGGCGTTCGAGGTGAGCTTTCGGATCCACTTCCTCGCTCCATATTCGCAGTTGACGATACTCTGCCTTCCGTCGAACGCCGCAGAAACTCATTTCCGGCCGCTATCTTGGGGAGATCCTGCGGCTGATCATCTGTGAGCTCATTGACGAGGGTGTGCTTTTCCTGGGGCAGAACACGTACAAGCTCGAGATCCCGTACTCGTTCGACACCGCGTTTCTGTCACTCATGGAGAGGTCAGCGGCCGTTCGTCGCTGCCTTTGGAATCCGCTGACACAGCGTTGCCCAGCGACCCGACGGACGAGCTGCTCATGATCATCGGCATCTTCACGCACTTCTTCGCGGTGGAGACGACGCTCGCCGAGCGCCAGTTCTTCCGCGCACTCGCGAAGCTCGTCGGCAAGCGTGCGGCGCGTCTCAGCGCGTGCGGCATTGCCGCAATCGTGAGCAAGATGGGATACCTGGACGAGGGCTGTGCGGTCGGCGCCGACGGCTCGCTGTATAATGTGGGTATCGACGTCGGCCTGCGGCGTCTGGATACTATGCTGACGTGGGTGTCCTCAGAAATACCCGGGTTTCGCAGAGAGGATCCATGAGGGCCTTCAGGACATCTTTGGAGAAAAGGGAAAGTGCGTAGCAGATGTGAAGCCTCGACGGGAGCCTGTCGTTGATGCCCCTGCCCAGGAACATTGTAACTTATCACGCAGAAGACGGAAGTGGAATCGGGGCTGCCATCATCGCAGGTTCGTCACAATCTACACACTTATCCTGCCGCGAGGTTCTCAGTTCGCCTCTCTAGCCATGACGAAGGCGCGCAAGGATGCCAACATCTACCCCAACTTGTAATATATATATGCACCGCAGCGACGCGGTTCAGAGTACCCTCGCGGAGGGGTCGTAGAGACGTCGGAAAGTAGCAAAACGCAAACATGTATTCATGTACTTGTGCCCCTTTCTCTGCCTCACTGCACCTGTAGCGTCCTTGTCTCAAGGAGCCTCTTCGATTTTCGTAGTAGTAATACCTGGTGTGTCCGAAATAGCATAGACAAGGACTCTTCTGAGGCAGTTGAATCAATTACCATATCAGTGGTTGTCATGGAGTACCTTCTCAGATTCATTATTCACGGCGCGTCTCATGTAGGGAGGTATTGCAACAACGTCTCCATCATGTAGAATGCCGGCTGCGGCTCGAGAAGTCGATAACACAACATCTCAGCTCAGGAACGCTCGATCTCCTTCTCCGGCCCGCCACACCTCGACCCCGCCCTCCCCTCCAACACAGACAACTCCACTCGCCCAGTCAACAGACAGAATCTTCTTCTCCATCTTGCTCTTCTCTTCGAACGTCTTGAAACTCGCTACCGCGCTCTTGACGCTGCGAAGGTCCCACAGGCGCACGATGCCGTCGTAGGCACCTGTGAGCAACTGGTGCTCGTGGGCACTCGTCACGATTCCTGTGCCCGACGAAGATGCGGGGGGCAGGGCGATGCAGGACGGCATCGCGGGGTGATTGAGAGTTGCAGTGGAGGGCGTGACAGCAGACGTAGAGGATGCGCGCAGGTCGTACTGTGAGACCGTGCGGTCCGTCGAGGCAGCGAGGGCGCTTGTGCCCAAGGGCGTGATGGCGAGATCGAGAAACGGCTTCGCGGAAGCGGTCTAACACCATGACTGGAGTTCACATTTGCAGAAGCGAGATGAGACGTGACTCACGATTGTATCCGTGCATACCCCGTTTTCGACGTCCCAGACGCGCACCGTCGAGTCAATGCCGCAACTGTACGCCTGCGCGCCCGCGCCCGCGGCGAATACCGCCTTCGATACCCGCGCGGTGTGCGACTTGAGCACCGCGAGAGGGGCCTTGCGTCGTGCACGAGGCGCGTCCTCCTCCACGCGCCGGCGCTTCTTGCGCTCGCCGTCCTCCGCAGGTACCTCGTCCGCACCGGGGATGGAGGTGTCCCAAAACCCGATGAGCGTGTCCCAAGAGGCGGTGAGGAGATGCGTTCCCGTAGCGTTTGCCTGCACCGAGGCAACTGGGGCGGTGTGTAGGTGAAGGGAAGCGAGTGTCTCGGTGCGCATTGCGTCGGTGTCATCAGAGGAGAGCGTAAGGGACATCAGACGCGCAGTGAGGTCGTGTGAGGCAGTAGCGATAAGGTGCGTAGAGGGAGTTGACGGTGTGGGGACGAGGCAGAGAGAGGCGATGGGCGCGCTGTGCGTGGATGCTGTGTGGAGCAGCTTTTGGGAGTAGTCAAACACACGGATGTGTCCGTCGTAGGAAGCAGTGAGAAAGTAGCTATGTACATGAGGTCAGCGGTGATGCCTCTTTACAATGTATCACTTGGTTCGTCTGTCATCCCAGGCCGCTTAGGACGTCCCCACTTAGAGGTGATTCCCATTCCAGCTTGTAAATGAGCAGAAATCTAATGCGGGAAATCGCATGGATGAAATAGACGAGGGGAGCTCCCTTCTACCAGACACCAACACATGCATGCCACACATCAATTTGAGAGTAGGACGTACCCCGATAATTGACATGACACGGACGATACCCAGTCTTCATGTGGTATTGTTGACATTTTCTGGGGTGGCATGACGGATTCAAAGTACTCGATTTCGAGTGTTTCTTCCTGAAATTATGTATGATATATTAGTACCTGTAACTATGTTCTAATCACAAAAGCGCGGAGTCCCCTCAGTTTATGAACGGTCCCATGTCCATGCAACCGAGAGCGACTCGTTCCGGGAATCTGAATATGCGGACCAAGAGGGGAAATCACCGGATTATGGACAATGGGATTACTGCCGTACTGTGCTTATGCCCGTTGTTACGGCTGTACCATGGGTGGATGACTACATGCGCGCGTGTAATGACCAGGGGAGCGCTCTCGGCACACGCACATATTCAAGATTTTCCATCGACTACAAGTGTGTAGTCATACTGGGGCTCATTGTAGCTAATACTGCCTCAACGTAGGTAAAGCAGAACAAGGAATATGACTCTTACCTCGCCTATCCCCTTTTCTGCGCACCATTCTGCGAGAGTCGTGCGCAGAATTTCTCCTCGTACTAGAAAATCAAACGGTACGGGCTTGGGCAGTGACAGAGCCTTGTTAACAAGCTGGGACAGTTGGTATCGCCTCCATGATGTCGGGATCATGAACCGTTGCGACGGTAAAGGATATGGTGTTTGCGTAGAAAAGACCACTGGGTGAGTAGTCTCGGACCCAGATGTTGACGCCATGGCTAGCCAAGATTGTCACTAGTCCCCAAGTGTGTTCTGGCGAATGTATCGAGACTTGGTTTTTGCGAGCTCTAGCAGACAGAATGAATAAAGCAAGAACGCGGGACTCGAAAACTTGACCATGTGTGATTATGTCACGCTCACAACGCGTAAGGTCACGCGTCGTGGGCGCGTCCTGTCACGCGCTCAATCACATGGCACGCTCTCCCAAGCACACTGGCCGGTGACCCGTTTACAATCAGACCTGACCGTGAGCCTCGGTGAGTAAATCCCGTCGCTTTCTCTCTCAAACCGTCACCATGTCTGAAATTGACCTTGCAAAGGCTGTTGGTCACCAATTTGACGACCAACAGGTCTGAGAACGTGCTGCATCCAACCAACATTGAACTAACAAGTAGACAGGTTTCGTGGAACCAGCGGGATCTCCTAATCTATGCCGTTGGCATCGGAGCCAAGGCGGATGACTACTCAATTGTGAACGGTACGTACGACTTTCAGTCTCCTGTACACGGTTCTGACTGCTCGCACCGTTAGAGCTCGGTTAGTGAGAGTGGTTCACCGTGCAGAGGACGATTGGCTTAATGGCATATAAGACAAATCATGGGCACCATTCCCGACATACCCGGTTGTACTCATGTTTAAAGGCATGTTCTGTCCACTCCAGCATGGAATTGGCTGCAATGACAGCCCCGCGTAGGCATAAACCAGGACACAGTCAACTTCCGGCAATTGATGAGCGGCGGCAAGAAGGTCTCTGGCTTACCCGCGTTTGACCCCAACCGTGTCGTAAGCCAAATAACTGATGTATCAGGTGTATGCTTCTCATGCAAATGACTAGGTGCATGGCTTCCAAAGCATCGAGATCTTGAGGCCGCTGCCCGCTGTCAGTGGGCCTGGATGGAAGCTCAAAAAGCGCATCGTTGGCGTGAACGAGAACAGTTCAGTTACAACTTATAAGCTGCGACTGTAATCTTGATCACGCTGACATCAACGCACCTCAGAGACCGGTATCGTTCTAGAAGATGAGCAAGTTCTCGTTGACAGTAACGGCACACCTTATGCCAAGCTCTACGTACGTCGTGTCTGCCTCGTGTCTACCTATCCTTACCGGTACGGTCTATGAATCGATACAGTCAGCGTCGTTCAACCTTGGTGCAAAGGGCACGGGTAACAGCTTTTCGAAGCGCATCGCCGGCGCGCCTCAAGCAAAACCGGTGCCCAAAGATCGCAAACCAGACTGGGTCGTCCAGGACAGAACGACGCCCGAGCAGGCGATCGTATATCGCCTGAGCGGCGACTACAACATGCTGCATATCGGTGAGTCCAGTCTCCCTGCATAGGTATATTCCGGCCTCACCTATTCGCTTGCAGACCCGAGCATCGGAAAAGCAGCTGGCTTCGGCGGCGTCATCCTGCATGGGTTATCGACGTTTGGCTTTGCCGCACGCGCGCTGGTATCCGCTGTGGGTGGGGGCGACCCTAACGCGTTGAGGTTCTTTGGTACTCGCTTCACGTCACCAGTAAAGCCGGGTGATGCGCTGGAAACGTCGGTGTGGGAGGTCGGTCCGGGCCCTGACGGTACGACGGAGGTTTCGTTCGCGACGAAGAACCTGACCAACGGGAAGGTGAGGGTGCATTCACTATACGGTCCGTGCGGGTGCACTGATGCGCGAGACAGGCGTGCCTCGGTGGCGGTATTGCATATGTCAAGAAGCAGGAGAAGGGAAGGTTATGAAGGCTTCATCAGCGTGCTCATGCTCAGAGGTTGCCTTGATGTTGTTGCATTTTCTGATACCAGCTCGGTGCTCTCCTGTCAAGGATTGCTCATGTATTACTCCTTCAACGGATCTGACATATGGAAGACTTGTGATTTCAGTGCGTCGGGTCGAGCGGTTTGCTCCAATAATACAAATGGTTTTGCTAGTCAGCGAGCGTCCCGGAGCGCTTGTACGTAATTCTTACTTCTTGCTTTTCCTACTGATGGAAGGCCCACGGGTCGCTATGCGATTCGGGGTCACGGCAGACGGCCGTCGGCTTTTGTACAGACTCTCAGAAAGGCTTGCGCAGCACAGCCGGTTGTCCCTCATCATCCAGTACTCTGCGCAACTAGAGTGTGGCACTATGCGTCACCGCTACTCATCCGAGGAAGCTACCGGCGAGGCGAGCCTTTGTCTAGTAACAGGCGAAATATCTGAGGTAGCAGCAGCTGCCCAGAGGCAGGTAGATTTACCCTTTGAACCGCTGCCGGCACCATGGGTAGAGGAGCGCGCTGCCCATCCTGCACTTCAGTTCGATGGTGGGTGCGCTCGAGTTGAAATGGAGCTTTCGATGGACCTCGCTGATCTCCTCATACTGATGTAGACGATATGAGCCTTACAGAACTTTTGAAGCGGAGCCCAAGTATTCCTCAAGCAGTACATGAACAAGGACGATCCTCATCTGTGCCAGGGACATCTCGTGCTCCCCTGGCTGGCGTAAGCTGCGCTCCTGATCCAGGACCCGATGTAGTCAGATATGCAGTTAGTACGTCACCTTACTGCGTGTCAATATTCGGGCTGGCAGGGATCACGACCCTACGAATCATTCTCATTCTCGTCTTTCTCAGTTCGTCCGACGGTCTCGCGTGACATTCAGAATGTGACCGCCAGGGGCCAACTCGGCCATTGTGATGGTATGTGCATACGCACGGTGCACGGCGAGTCTCCTAGTAGGCACACCTCTGACGCGCTCATGCCATGTTGTGGAACAGACGCTCGACAGAGATGCACATCCGGTGCAAACGTTAACTGGCGACCCCTGCTATCTACAATCCCTTCTTACGACACTGCGAGTAGCCACACGAGTCGTCCTAATCAATTCGCGTTCAACCGATTCGTTCAGGATCAGAGCGTGCAAAGGCCAATTTGGGCTGCCCCTGTCGCCATATCGCGTTATCCGCTTTCAATTAGAACTGATCAAAGTGCAATGACTGGGCTGGTGCTCGCGCAACCGCCGAGTGCATGCTCGCAAGCTCGAATCACTGATAACGTAGCTCGAGCAGGTCAACCCTCTTTGCCTATTTCCGGGCTGCCGACGTCATCACCTTCCTCTGACAGAGTCTTTGTGATGTGGAGAGACCCCCAATCGAAGGGCCCATCGAAGCAAAATGATATGAAGTTACTGCTGGAGCGTTGCTCTACGTTGGACTTTGATGCGCTCACGAAGCTCAAGAAAATGACGCGTGATCCTTATGGCCAAGACAAGATGGTGGCTAGGATTGCGTGCCTCGTAGATGAAGCCATGTTTTCAGCCCATTCGGAAGTATGCGGTGAGGGCGCTCCAGTCATCGAGCAAGAGGTTTTTTTAGGATGGCTGAGAGGGTGCCATGATCTCATGGTGTCGATGAAGGCAAGCCCCCCGTCTATATAGGGCTATCGTAAGGTCTAACTGCTTGTAAAGTGCTTAGCTGAGATTACTGAGTTGGTGCGGAAGCGAGGGGTAGGCAGGATCATCTACATTGTGACCTCCACCGTTCTCAAACGCTTCGCACACAACATCACACTCTACAAGAAGCAGGACTTGCCTGGTCTGCCGGTAATAATCAGCCCGGCCAATTTGGCCGAGGAGGCACGCGTGCTTACCAGTCAAGCTAGGCTGGCAGGATTACTGAGCGAGTATGACGACCTGCTGGCCCCTGCCATCGTGAGTTTCAAAAAGGAAAGCGAGCGCAGCAGAGGAAAGTATGAAGACCACCTTGAACAGGTCCTGGATGAGCTGGAAACCTGTCACGGAAGTGTGATCTGGGACATGGATACGCTGTCCATTTCCTTCCGGAAAGTGAGGGCAGCATTGAGAGAGTGGAGCAATGCTTCCATCGCATTGAATACTGGAAACATAGATTAATCTGCCAGCACCCTCGGTTTCATTTTGTAACAATCAACTGTTATCGAAAGTCCTCAGTGTCACTCAATCGTCTGCATGTGGGACCTTCTTGTGCCACTCTGGCAGCAGTAGGAGCCGGGATACCCATCTGATCTTTGTCCTTATGTCTTCTGATTAGTAGCTGTGTCACTGTATAATCTGAGGGCCGTAGGGTCTCATTGGGGATATCAGCTGCGGCAATGCTAGGTACGTCCTCTGAATATACGTTGCTCAAAGTGTCTTGACTGTGAACCTCAAAACACGCTAGCACATTGGCACTGGATGCCGGGGGACATGATGAATTGTTGGAATATCGAGACAAGATTCTTGACGTGCTATTGAACTCGATGCGTGAGCCGGCCTCGTGCGCTAATTAGCGCGACGCGGAACTTTTTCCATCCTAACAATTTATGCCGTATTATTGCTGTGCCTTGCCTTGTGTCGATGATGATGACTCCAAGGCCTGTTAGCCGTCCAAAATGAGTTTCACGGTGGTGTAAGCAAAACATCATTGTACGTACCATCGTTGGCATCTCCATTGAGCGGTGGGGCAGAGACGCTCCCGTGGAAGCGTCGACGCTACGCGGTGATGGGCTCCGTCTCACGATGAAGGAGGATACAAGTATTGAGGCAGGTTCTCCAGCCTCGTTTATATGATGGCGCACGTTCAGTCTATGAAGCCGTCAGATAAGGTCATAAATATGATACGCAAAACTTCTCACATAGCAAGAAATGCATTGAAGTATACTATTATTCGCCAGATCGAGGGCCCGCCCGGCATGACAGATAAGCAGTACGAAGTACGTTTGATTGATCACACTCACGGGAGCCATGCGAGAATGAAACAATCGCACCCGCATCCGTTCCCGTCTTGTAATTCAACATAAAAGTTCCTAACTGTATTGCTTGATCCACACTGCGCATATAACGGATGCAGGCATCTGGTCAGGAGAGAAACCTAGGCGACTAATATACAAAGTGCCGCACCAGAGAAGGATACCGCGATTTGCGGTGTATTTTGTCAGCCTGCCGAGGATACCTTCCGAGCGGCCAGTCGCATTCCTAAGAAGAGATCTAAAGTCGAACATTTAGATAATTCTATTGGGCAGTAAGCTGGGGCAGATGGAATGTAATAACGCACGGCTGCGAGGGCATCCGGGCGCTGCGGAAGATGACACAAAGCGAAACGGTGATGTGAAGATCCGTCAAGAGCGAGATGACATCGAGCGCAATCGTGAGTTTCTGGTACGAGTCCATCAAGCAACAGTTAGCTAAATAGGTCTGTGTGACAGCGCTTCAAAACATACATCGACGTTCTGGAGTGCGACTGTATCCTCGATACTCAGGTAATACATTGCAGCCGAAACACAGGCTGGGATGGAGTCAAATGCGCCGTATCATATACCTGGGAAGACATACCTAAGGATGTCGCGGACATCAACGCCTTAAGAATGTTGTAAGCGAGTGCATGTTTATGTCGAAAAACAAAGAGACTCACTGCGAAAATACACAGCACTTTACTCCACCATCTGAAAGGGAATACTTGACGATGTGAGACGTAGTGTGAACCGCAGCCCTTAAATATGACATGTGTGTGTGTGTGGGGGGGGGGGGGGGG